TCTGTTTGTCAAATCATCAAAACTACAAATAACACTTAGTATTGTTGGTTTTTGGAATTTCATTTGTTTTGTTCTTTTGTATATGGTACATATGAGAGGGCCACAACCAGGGGTTATGTTCTTGAGCCAGTAGATAGAGCCCCAACAAGGGTCATGGCTAGATTTTAAAACTGATGTCGTGTATGAGTAACCAAACTTGATTAGGATCAGGGTAGAGATATGACCCTTGATCCAGTTATTGAGCCCCAACAAGTACTTATTACATTGCAATAGGTAGGGATGGGACTAGCCAAGCTACCACACTGGCCTACAATTGTGTAATGACTAAAGACGGTTATCACTCAACTTATAAAGGTGTTAGGAGGTATGTATAAAGACCTAGTGATTCCAAGAGGGTAGCTTGCCATTGTGACTCCCCACATAGAGGTACCACCAACACCTGTGGTTGCTCATCCCGAAGTAGTTGACGCAGCCATGTCAGTATAGTAGTAGAAGATATCATGCCGCTTTTTTAGATTGGATCCTTTGATATTTTAAGGGGATGCATGTGTGGATGTTCATGAGTTCATGACTTGCTATTGTGAGAGATTATAGACACTGCATCGAGTTGAGTCTGTAAGGGATCACTGCATGGCATATCTAGACAAAACAGCCAGGCTATGGTGGCGTTCGTGTATGGAATATAGACCAACTAGGTCACCTTCCCTGACTTAGAGATGAGTTCTTTAGGTTGGAGTAAGACTCCATATCTATACCGGAGTACGGGACCCATTATCACGAGCTCTCAATACATGCTATAATAATTCTACCTAAAGAAGAAGAGAGAGTTCGATATTTTGTCCAAGATTTTAGATTTCTGCTCTAGATAGAAACAAAGTTTGTGGCAGATGGGTAGATCCTTTCTGGATGTAGTTGACTATGATCGTACTATAGAGGAGCTCTGTCATGAGCCCCGTGAGGTGGAAATAAGAGGGCACGTTTCAGGGCAGCTTCAATGTGTCGCAGTGCTGTGATAGGCTACTTTTTGGTAGAGGACAGCATGCTTATTAGCCCAAGGAAAGTGTAGCTGACAATTCAGGTCTCACTCCAGACTTCGGGCCTTGGAGGCCGGGGTGGATCAGATAGTCTTCCTTCTAGACCTTGGGGTGACTGAGGTTGTTTTGATTGTGTTGAGGTTGGCCATTATGTTAGAGATTTACGCAGGCCAGGGTTGTAACACCTCTAAGTAAGGTTAGTAGGGGTAGTCCTTAGGATGCTCGAGGAGGGGCATATGTAGGTAAAACATATGGTTGAGTTGGAGCCTAGACTGGGGGAGGACGAGAGCATTTCCTAATTATGCCTTTTGGGTTGACAAATGACTTAGCGATGTTCATGAACTTGATCATGTGTGTTTTCAGGCCTTATATAGACTCCTTCGTCATTGGGTTCATCGATGATATTCTTGTCTTCTCAAGCAGTATAGAGGAAAACGAGTAACATATTAGGATTATGATCTAGATTTGGAGAAATTAGCGGCTTTATGCCAAGTTCCCAAAGTGTGAGTTTTTTCTTGAGTCTGTAGTATTCTTAGGGCATGTGGTGTCCAAATATGGGATTATGGTAGACGCCACGAAGATTGAGCCAGTTCGTGGTTGGCCAAGTCCCACCTTAGTGTTAGAAATTCAAAGTTTTATTGGATTGGCATACTACTATAGAGGGTTTATCAAGGTCTTCTCTTCTGTAGTAGTACCCCACTATTGATTTGGAGCTGACGATATTAGTTTTTGTGCTAAAAATTTGGAGGCACTACTTGTACAAAGTTCATTGTGAAATCTTCACAGATCACTAGAATCTTCAGAATATTTTACGCCAAAAGGACCTTAATTCGAGGAAGCGTATATAGATTGAGCTTCTAAAGAACTATGACCTCTCTATTTAATACCATCCAAGTAAGGTAAATATGGTGGCTATGCCTTGAGCCTGAAGGCAAGTATAGGGAGTCTAGATTTCCTTTCAATTTTAGAGAGACATTTGGCTTTGGACACCCATTCCTTTGTCAATAGGTTGGTGTGACTTGATATATCTTGAATCTTCATCAATTTCTAGCTTGTATTGAGGCTCACTCTACCCTAGGGGAGCCAATTCATGATCGACAGTTCAAGGATGAGATTTTGGTGGCCATTCATGATTGTTTTTTTAGCAGTGATGCTGGTGAGGTGACCTTATAATCTTAGGGTGTTTTGAGATTAGGCAACCATATTTGTGTTCCTCAATTTGGAGATTTGATTAAATGGCACTTCAGGAGGCTCACAACTCTAGGTATTCTATTTAATAGGTCACGGCAAAGATGTATAGAGATTTGAGGTAGCATTATTGGTGGATCTATATGAAGAAGGATATAGAAGACTATGCAGCTTGTTCCTTATGTTGTCAGTAGATGAAGGTCGAGCACTTGAGGCCTGGTGGTAAGTTTTCAAGATTATCCATTCTTGAGTGAAAGTGGGAGGGAATCAACATGAACTTTTTTATGGGGTTGCTGCAGACTCTTGAGGTGTTGATATAATTTGAGTCATCGTGGATCAATTAATCAAGTCGACTCATTTCTTGCATGTTCACTCTTCCTTCAGTGCCTAGAGTTTAGCTTGTATCTATGTATGAGAGGTGGTTCGTCTTCATGGGGTGCCAGTGTCTGTCATCTTCGATACATGCTCTCAGTTCACTTCTAGATTTTAAAGGGCATTCTAGGATGAGTTGGTACTTAGAGTGATCTTAACACACCATTTCACCCACACACCAATGAGCAGTCAAAACGGACTATTCATGTTTTGAAGGATATGATTCAAGAGTGTATGTTGGACTTCAGAGGTCAATTGGTTCTATTTTTTTCTTTGGCAGAGTTTCCCCATAATAACAACTACCTTTTAAGTATTTTGATGACCCCATTCGAGGTATTGTATGGTAGGCATTGTCAATCTATAGTTGGTTGGTTTAAGGTTTCAGAGCCTAGGCCTTGTGGTATAGGACAGGCTACGGGGGGTCTATATATAGTTGCCTTAGTGTAGTACTTTGAGATGAGGAGTTTTTTCATCAAAATGTGCAACTTTGAAAGAATTTTTTGTGAGAATTTGAATGAATGAGGCCGGTTGAATAGAATTGGAATGATAAATTGTTGACAAAGGAGAATAGTAAAAGGGAAATGGCCAAATGGCTGAATTAAACAATAAGTAACATATACGCCCTTTGTTTTTTCCTTATAAAATTAGTATGTTTTTCCGACTATACTCTCATAGTAAAGAACTACCTCTTAATAGTTCTCAATTCTAAAAACATCTAATAAACAAAGGTAACTTTAGTAAATTATCCTTTCAATTTATTATTTTCCTTAATAAGTGTGAAATGAGCTAAAGTAACACTTATTTTGGGATGGAAGAAGTATTAGTATATAGTAATGTCATTTTCATTCAATACTCATCTGCCCAACTGTGAAAGTCTATTTATCCGGGTGAATACCTTCATCTCGTGCACTACGCTGTGCTTCCACATGTCCCCCTCTTTCTTAAATATTGTAGCTATAAATATGGGCAATTTTACTTGCAAAGAGCTATAGATTCATACACAGAGAGAGATAGAAATTTGTAAAAAGAGAGAGATGAAAAATGGTTATCGTGTTGGTTCAAGAAAAGGAAGATTTTGTAGACGCAGATTCCCACAACCAAGCGCTTCCCGTTCACTTTCCCTTAGTATGCTACCTAGCTTCTCTTTTACTTTTATAAATGCATTCCCCTTCCCCATGGAACATTCGTGAAACTTTGTATTTGCTTTATATATTTGATTTTGATTTGATTACTCGAGTTGATCGTCTCTATTAAGAACAGTCTCTCTACCTTCACAAGGTAGGGGGTAAGATTGCATACACTTGCGAAATTCCATTGAATTTTTCATTATCTTCTTTAACTGTGTTGTGTGTGTGTGCATATATCAGTTGATCTAGTACATGTTGAGAGTTGCATCTTATGTACATTTCTTTGTTTGTTGTATCATCATGTTCTAGACATCCGTCTTTAATTAGCTGGGGACTATATATGCATTTTTTTTCCATATATATATTTGAAAATCTAGTTGTTTGTATATCAAAGATCAATAGATCGATTCATGTTAATGGTGATTGACACAACCATTTTCTGTTGGAACTTTTTAAGACAGAGAGTACAAGAAACAACCCGTCTAAAGCTAGCAAGTTTGAAAACCAGCTAGTGGTATTACACAAATTAAAGGCGTTAATTTTGGCATAAAAATTGCCTAAAGTGTTAGTTACAATTTGAGAAGATCTTTCAATATATATATATATCATCATCAGAACATAGTTACAATTTGAGGAGATCTTTCAATATATATATATATATTTATATGTGTATTCATCATCAGAACAAATAGGCATTTTAAGAAGTTAATTAAAATCTAGCCAACATTTCTGTATCCAAAGTTTAAGAAGCATTGCATATAACTTTAAGAACAACTAGTACTACAAATATAGAGTATATGAAACCAGTGGGTAGAGTAGTGTCCGTTACAATAAAATTGTCGCCTTTTGATCAGAGGCAAGTTTGGATATATGCGAGGGTTAGTTGAAGATCAGACAAAATAAGGTAGATGAAGAAAACTACAGATGAAGCGTTTTATGTTGCTTCAAATAGTCTGTATTCACACCAGTCATATCTTTTGTCGAAATGATATATGCTTTTGGTGTTTACATTAATATTGTCCAAAATTCATAGTGCCATCTTACAGTAGTACTACTATCATATCCAGCTAATAATTAGTGAAACATATATATCTGTGCGCCATTAGCTTTGTGATTTCTTCAAACTTGAAAAGTTAGTTAATAGCAAACGCGACTTTATAATGTTTAATTAGACTATAAATCCTAGCTAGTTGTGATGAAATTAGACGAATATTTTGATGATATATACTATAATTATTTTTCATTTCACTCTGATGTTTTGTTGTTGTGTGAAATTAAGATATGGAGACAGGGTTGGCACTGGCTATTCTTCTCCACCCAGCAAATGCTGCCCTTTTAGAACTTTTTGAATGCCCCATTCAAGAGCAAGACCCATTCATGCCAATAGGAAACGTGGTCATAATCATGCGCAAGATCCTTCCTCCCCATGCCAAGATATCCAATGAATCCAAAGTGGCCATCCAAGAGTGTGTCTCTGAGTTTATAGGCTTTGTAACAGGCCAAGCCAACGATAATTGCCAGCGTGAGCAGCGCAAGACCATCATGGCTGAAGATGTGCTTTCTGCCTTGAACGATTTTGGTTTTGATGACTACATCAAACCCTTGTCTTTGTACTTGCATCGCTATCGTGAGGTTAATGGTGGTGTGGGTGGATCCCTGAAACGGGAGCCTTTGTTGTTGAATCGTCCTATGGTTGATCCAGCTTCAAGCTGCAGCATCATGCCCAATCATCTGCCTCCTAATTTTGATATGAATCATCCACCACCAATGGGTGACGGTTTTATGCAGGAGGATGCATCAAATGGAAGAACTTCTCAGTGTACAGTGTCTACTGTGGATAATGAAGTTGATTCTCTTGCAAATGAGGGTAAGGAGTGATCACGTTTTCTGCTGAAGGAATTATGTTGTGGTTGAAACTTAATTTGTAATGTTTAAGAATGCTTCTTTCTAACTAAGTGAGCCAAATGGTGTCTCCAATTGGCTGTTTGTTTATTTTGCTACCTCTCTATTTTTAGTATTCAACTAGTGATTGCTTGTGACTTGTACTTATTTTGACGCAAAATCCTTCAAATCAATCAAACACCAAGCTTTCCATTCATGAGTATATGCAGTGATAAAGGACTCAAACATCAATTGGACTAATAGAGTTGCAACAAGCCATTATAAAACAAATCATTTGTTTGCCATCTCAAGTTTATTGAAGCATAAGTTCTTGAGAACAAGATGATACCAACGACTATCCTTATAGTATCTAATGGAAGCTTTTGAAACTTCCAACTCTCAGGATTGCACTCTTTTAAATTCATGATCATCTCTCTCTTCTTCCCGCTCAATATCATGTATTTTATTTCATGATCATATTTCCTTTCCGTTTCTTCTTCCCAATCAAAGAATGAAGTTTACCAAGTCCTTACATGCCTTCTTAACTCCTTCCTGTTGGCTCATAAGAATCCACCAGGAGTCGAGGGACCAGGTCCTTGACTAAGAACAACAAGAACAAGGAAGAACAGAAACTAAAGCACACCCAATGTTTACATGAAAATCTTCTTTCTCAAGGAAGGAAGAAATCACAACCTACTATGTAGGATTTCACCAATAACTTCTCTAACAACACAACCCAAGTTTCAAATTACAAACTCTTGCAACTTAGGGATTAAACTCTTCATCCCTTCCTCCTTATAATAACTCCATTATAAGATAAATAAATAAATAATAACTCTATTGGCCACTACACCAACTAACTCTAGCTAATATAGACTGTTGAAATAGAAATACTCCATTAAACTGAATTGAAGTATAAAACAGAGTGAACTAATGAAATTCCAGCCATTCATTAACGTGCAAAAGTTTTGAATTTATACAAGGAAAAAAACAGCCACATACAAAGTGGATGGAAACTGAATAAAAAACATGTGCCATTAACAGCCATAAAAGGGCCACTTACTTCAAAAAGTTAAGCAACTAAAGTTGACTAACTCTAGCTAGTAAATAGGGAAGTACTAAACTAAAACTAAGTCAAAAAACAGTAAAAAACAATAAGCTGGAAGTTAAGAAATGACAATTGTTTAACACTCCTCCTTGACATTATCGTGACGAACACTGATTCTTTGCCTCAGATCTTCAAGCCTTTCCGTTGGCAGAGAATTAGTGAAAACATCAGCTAGCTGGTTCTCAGATGAACAAAGAACAAGCAACACTTCATTAGATTGTTGGACTTCTCTAATAAAATGAAAATTGATCTCGATGTGCTTAGTTAGACCATGAAACACTATATATTTTTAGATTGAAATTGTTGAACTGCTGTAACACGTGATCCTAGAAGTTTCAGTTTGTTCATGGCCCAAGTGTTTCAACATCTTCTTTAGCCAGATAGATTGGTTCATAGCAGATGCGGGAGCTATGTACGCAACTTCTACTATTGATTGAACTGTAGATTCTTGTTTCCTAGAGCACCACTAAAATAACTTGTTCCAAAATAAAACAGATATCCAGAAGTGATTTTGGAATCATCAAAGTCGCTACCCCAATCACTATCAGAGTAATCGACCAGATTCATAGTCACTTCGGCAGATGTTGGGAAAAAATTCCAAACTTGTTGGTTCCTTTTATATACATTAACACTCTTTTAGCCACTATGAAGTGTGTGTCTCTAGGTTAATGTTAGATATAGAAGTTGTCAATTAAGCTTCTATACATAGTATCAACCACTTTTTTTGGAATCCTCATCTTTGCCAAGCTTCACACCAGTAGAGATTAGAGTACTCACAGGCTTTCCGTCTTGCATTTTGAACCTTTTTAGAATATCTGAAATGTATTTCTGCTGGAATATAAAAATTGCATCACTAGACTACAACACTTCCATGCCAAGGAAGTACTTCATGTCTCCACGATCAGTCATTTCAAAGACTTCATTTCATTCGTGACCTTTGGGTTAGTTCAATTTGACTTCCTATCACAAGCATGCCATCCACATAAATTGAGACAATTGAGGACCCACCACCATTGACTTTCACTTACAGAGTGCTTCATTTTGACTTCTACTAAAATCAAGTTGGATGAGATGATTCTCCATCATATTAACCCATATCCTTGGGTTTTTTTTAGGCCATACAAAGTCTTCATTAAGAGATAAATTTGATCCTCTTTTCTAGGAATTGTGTCACGCCCCGAGCCTACACCCTGAACGCGGATGGCACTCGAGAACTATTACTGGCCCCAAGCAAACCCTTGGCATGTCTTAACTCTTAGTGGAAGACTTACTCAACAATAAAAGTCTAACATATCACACCTAGAAACAACTAGAAAGAGTTAAAATATGAAAATATTGATTTTTGGAAAGATTAAAGAAATTTGGAAAATTATGTCTAAGTTAAGGAAGTGAGTTTTTGCCATTTTCAAATTTCCTTAATCTTTCCAATGGAAGTTAGGGGAGTTTAGAGATGAAAAACGGAAGAGAAAAGTCGGAAGTCGCTGGGCAAAAAGGGTTGGGTGTCGCGCCTGCCAGAGCGCCACAAAAACTTCTCTGAAGTTTGGCCTCTGGCGTGTCACGCCAGCCAGAGCGCCAGGGACGCTAGTTCTCCCCATTCATTCCCCACCTTTTCGTACTTGTTCCTAAGCGATGTACCTATGTTTTCTAGTTGTTTCCAACACTCTAAGGTACATCTAAACATCATTAAATTATCCATAAACATGACATCATGAACCTTGAATCCATAATCTAATTCAAGGAAAGTTAAGATCAAAGTCAAAGAAGTTAAGAGTCAAGTCTAGAAGTTAA